TAATCGAATAACATCACATAATACTCGAATGACATTTTATTTACCACAATTAACACCGCGAAATATAAAATAACCCCACATAATTAGAAATAACGTTGATGAAATATTCTTGCACCATGGCGGAAAAGCTAAATAACGCGGAAGAAAATAAATAATGCAGAGGAATATTATTATAACACAACAACTATTTTTGTATTACGTGTGTTTTTTTTTGTAACAAAATTCTATGTGGGTCCCAACATTCTGTGTGTCCTCATTTTATTGGAGTGCAGAGGAATATTATTATAACACAACAACTATTTTCGTATTACGTGTGTTTTTTTTGTTACAAAATTCTATGTGGATCCCAACATTCTGTGTGCCCTCATTTTATTAGACTTCGAACGTAGCTTTACATTCGAAGTCCTGATGTAATATTTTCTCGAGAAAATCACCATGAACGTAGCTCTACATTCGGAGTCCTGATGTAATATTTTCTCGAGAAAATCACCACTCGATTTCGTAAAAACAAAATGTATGCAATTATCCAATTATCATAAGTATAAGTATTAAATTTTAGTTGGTAGATATGTAAATATAAGAATTGTAAAATGCAACACAGTGCAAGCCCAATCAAGTAAAAATCTCATTTACTCCACTCTACTTTTCGCCATGAAAAGCCGCATCACCTGCTCCTGTTGTCTTCTCCGATTCCACCGCTATCTCTGTCTCTCTCTAGCTTGAGCTCGTGCTTTAAGAAACAGAGGGGACAATGCCATTAACGGAAGACCCGAAGCTGTCAGCTTTCTCGTCTTCTTCTTCTTCCTCGCAATCTTCTATGGATCAAAACTCGCTCACCTGCGCTTAATGGCTGCTTTATTTCTTCTTCTACCTCAAGTTTGGATAAAAAAGATGAAAACTTTAAGCCTATGGACTGTTCCTGCAGCGGCTTTCTATATATATATAGAGAGAGAGAGAGAGAGGAAGCACACACAAAGACAAAGGAAGAGAGAAATAGAGATTGAATCAAAATTAATATTCTATTCAAATTTTTATGAAACTCTTGAATCATTAAATTTATCAAAATTAAAATTTAATATTACATGCATTAATCGAGGAAAAAATTTCAGATGAATCGGTTAGCTAGCAGCTAAAAAGCATAACAAATTAGCCACTCCTTAAAACACATGCATTAATAATAAGGCGGGGGTAAGAACCCTTCCCAAGCCGACTTACTATTGTTAATGGGTGGTTCCATCCAATATGCCATCACATCAAGGG